GTCCACCCACCCTCTGGCGTTCCACGTTCCCCAGGCCTGGGGACCCCAGTGACTCTGTGTCTCAGTGTCAGGTAACAAAACAGAGGCACAGAGAGGTCGAGACCAACCTGTGGCAGGCCCCACAGAACCCAAAGTTGGCTCTCTGAAAAAATAAAAATTAAACAGAGAAGACTGAAGAAAAAGAACAAGGGAGTGAGAATAAACCATCTAAATGACAGAAAAGGGAAATCAATGCGGAAATTAGAGACAAAAGTAATCCAGGATTGTAGCTTCCTAGAAAAATACAGCTTCCAAAATGGACCCCAAAAGAAAAATTTGAAGTCTCCATAATTTTACAGCCATTAAGGAAATTAAATCAGCAGTAGAAATCTTCCCACGAATATAACACCTCATCAGGTGATTTTCTACCTGAGTTCTCTCAAACATTAAAAAAGAAAAAAAAAAAAGGGATCACGAAGACACTTGCATTTGGGAGACTAACCCAACCTTGGATCCATAGTCAAACCCGAAACGGAACACGGGAGAGCACGCATTTAAAAACGCAAAGAGCAAAAGCCTTTTTAAAATGTAGCATGAAAATTCCAGCAGTGAACAAATGGGATAAGAAGAGGGTGAGTGTTTTGTTGTTTTCCTAGGAAGGTGATGTCGGTTTAATATTGGGATCCTAATTAATGGAATTCATCACGTTGGAGACATTTTCAAAGCGGATGATCCTCTGAGCAGATGCAGAAAAAGCGTTTGATCAGAGTTGGCATCCGTTCATGATAAAACTCTGAGCAAGCTAGGAAGGAAAGGAATAAAAATATTTCACTTTTATTCCAAAAAAAAAAAAAAGAAAAGTAAAGTAAAAAGGTCTGGCCAGCATCATATTTTGTAGGTGAAACGTGGAAAGCTTTTCATTTGAGATCAGGAACAAGGTTAGGGTGACCGTCACACCGCTGCTATGTGAATGTCCACTCTAGACCACCAGCCAGAGAAAGAAATGAAAGGTATGTTGGCTGCAGAGGAGCAGGCAGAGTCTCCTTACCCACACAGGCTGTCCTTGGAAAGCCCAAGAGTGTACAGATAACGAGGGGGCTTTGAACACGTTTTCTAGATTCAAAATCAATAGAAAGAAAGAAAGAAGCCATTTGCAATGGGAAAAAAATGCAAAGTTTCTAAGACAAATAATAAGTCTCACAAAAGCTGCAAATCTCTATATGCAGAAAATGAGCGTGGGGTCCACCCTGACTGGGACCTCTGCACCAGGCAGCATTTCATAGCAGGGGTGTGCTCCTGTCTCCCCTCTGCTCTGTACCTGAGGTCTGTGTTTTCATCCTAAACAAGAGACACTATGGGATTGGTCAGGATTCTTGCCTGTTGAGTCTGACCGACCCAGCATTCCTTGAAAGATTAATATTTGCATAATGCATTCGCCAAACACTGTTAGGCTCGCTATCTGTTTCCCAAGAGCCCAGAGAAATGCATAATAATCTTATTTCTAGTGGCCTGCAGAGTCTAGAGTCAGGGTTGGGTTCCAAGATGCCCGCCCTGGGCCCACTGACCTGGGAAAACTGCAGAGCAGGTTCAGGGACGTCTACTGAGCGCATGCCAGGAGCCAGAGGCATGGTGACATGCACAGTGGCACTAAGCTGTCCCTCTTGGAATCCTGTCTCCTAGAGAATCCACAC